TAATTGATCTACAGGTGAAACAGACAAAGAGACAGAGAAAAAGATACAAAGAGTCCGATGGAAATGGAAGAGGAATAGGGACGAAATGCATCGGCTGAAATCGTATAGAAAGTGCCGTGCAAATACTCAGGCACACACATACTCGAGTCGCGCTGCAGTTACGTAATGTCACGGAATGTCGTCCTTCCCGAACCGGGCAGAGAAATATGCGGTTCAACGTAAAATTAAACAAAAAGAAAAAAGGAAGGAACAAAAAGCAAACCGTTGATGATGAATAACTAAATCTGGATCCGATGCAGTCTGTTCTCCTTCCAGATGCGATACGTCTTTCCTTGACGTGCGCATTCCAGCTAACTGCCGCCGTTACGCAACGAAAACAACAACAACAAACTGAATTTCTGCAGTTCCTTCCGCGTTTTACATAAAAAAAAAACACACAACAAACAAAAAATAACATACACTTATATAATTATTAATTTAATCAATTTTTCAACCTTCCTTCTTTATTCTTATTTATATGAAATATTAATACAAATTTTAATAAAAATAACGTCTGTTTCAAGAATTCTTGCTTTTCAAATATTATTTTAACTATTTTATCTGTTTCTTAATTTTTTTAATAATTTTGAAATAAAAACTTAAATACTTGTAAAAACAATGGCGGAACTACAAGGAACCCAGTTTTTTAAGGCCCTCAAATAGTAAAACTGTGTCTAGGGCCCATAACTTTCTTAACGTGACCCTCCGTTATCACTGATAAGTTTGAAACATTCTTTCTCTATTCTTATTTATTTTCAATATTGATACAAGTTTCAATTTGTTTTTATAAAAATATCTTCAGTTTTAAGAATTTTTGCTTCCCAAACATTATTTTAACTTCGTCTTCTTCTTTAAATATTTGTAATAATTCAAATGTTTTTGAAAAAAGACACTCAAATACTTAAAAATTACATCTTGTAAAGACTATTGCAGTGTGGTGGAACTACAATGATCCCCGTTTTTAGGGCCCTCAAATAGTATAACTATTGTGGGGCCGTGGGCCCACGGCATTCTTACTGTGGCCATCCGTTACCACTGATACTAAACACCCCCCAACATCATTTGTTTAACTGTTGTTTAAGGCTCGATGATTATCTCTATTTCATCAAGGGGGGCTCAAACAAAAATTTGTGTGGTGCCATCAAATTTATCTGATTTAAGGCCCTGATTAATATTTTGCAAGGGGCACAAAGATTTGAAGTTATGCCACTAAACAATAAATTTTATTTTGATCAATTTTCATATTCTTTTTCATTGTGATTTCAACTTCAAACAATTTTTATAAAAATTACGTTAGTTTCAAGAATTCTTAGTTTTAGAAACTTCCTTACTTCAATTTTGTCTTTTAACTACCAAATACTTATATTTGCATGCTTATCACAACAAAAATAAGATTTTTTTTAGTGTAAAAATCATAATTTTTCAAATTTACTTTTCAATTAAACATCATTCACTTCTTTCTTTCTCTTCTTATAAAAAAAAATAGTAATTGCGTAAAAATCGTATTAAATAATATGACTTGAACTTAAACGTAATATATCTGCTTTATTAAATAATAAAGTTGCAAACATCGCAAAAATGTAATAAAATAAGAATTTAAACGCGAAACGAAATGACGAAAAAAAATGCGCAAGTGAAATTCGCGGACGGAAGATAAATTCAACGGAGTGTGCATTTCTGTCCGTTTCAAATTTCACCTCCTCGGATGGCGTGTTTTGTGAATGTCTTCAGACGGGAGATGCAGATTTTTTCCCGCGCGCGCCAAAAGGTCGATAGAATGTGGTACAATTATACGCGTACACATATATTACTAATGTTAGCACAATAATATTCATTAATTACTAGAATTTCACTTCGGTCGCTCTCGGGGACTTCTTTCTTACGACTACGTGTTTTCTGTACCTTTTCCTGCGAATGATAAACGACTGTTTAAAGCAATACCCATAATTATAGGAAATTTATGTTAAATTTCAAACAATAAAACATCTCCATCTTATATATCTACATACAATATTTAAATATTGAAATTGTTGCTGTTATTAACCTCTTGGAAATAACAAATAAACGCGACCTTGGGCCACCTTTAACAGCGTTTCATTTGCAATTAATATGAACGAACGTATCTTTATGGTTTTGATGCATTTATAAGGAAACTAATTGCGATCTTACCTTGAAACGATTTGCATATCAGACACGCTTAGGTTAGACGCGTTGTGGGTGTCCCGTTTCCATTTGCATTATAAATTATTTAGCAACAAACGATTCAAGTATAATTGCAACACTCACCCCATCTGCGTCTTCGACGTTTTAAACGAATACTCCAAAAATGTTCAGCTTTTTATACCAGTAATAATAATTTGTCTCGTTTACAAAAACTGGATAACCTTAATAATGTTTTCCTTTTTCATGCGTAGATCAACGTACCCAGAATTCTTCGCAGAAGGTTAAATTACTCGTCAATCCATGCAAAGAAGTTGTTCCAAGTTCCTTTTTTAATTAATTAAGAAATAATCATTAATCCAAATCATGTTTATTCATGAACTAACAAAAATACTACCGGTTTTATCAATACTCTAGAAATAAATTTAAAAATTTCCTGCAAGCCGCATATTAGAAATTTATTAAAATATGAACACTAGAGATGATAAACACAAAATAAAGTAATTTAATGACCTTTTTTATAATTGAAAAAGTCTAAAACTTTCAACTTTTAAAGCACGAAGCCGAATGCGGCCGCGTGTAGCTCATCACTAGTCTATATAGAACTTATACTAATTGTGCATGCGCCGGGTATTGATTCTTTTTTACTGAGAATTAATAATAAGTTTACAATATAAACTCTAATAGATTCAATTTGATTTAAATATTTTTTTTAGTATAGATTTTACAAAATAGGAAGCAATTGCAAAGCACGTATTTCTGTAATGATGATCAAAACGGAAATCGCCACCTACGACTCGAAATTATAGAAGACGAGATGAGACTTTCATAATCATAAATAAAGTTCATTTCCTTGACGTTCGCTAAAGCGAGGTACGTTAATAATTCAAGTAAAGAAAACGGTGAAAGATTCGAAGGTCGAAATGCAATGACCCGAAAGCCTATATAAGCAACTGCATTTTTCTTCACGGTTATCTTCGAGCGTTTCTCCGTTAAATGATAAATCACCATTAAGATTTTCGTACTATTTAAGTTGAGAAATATTTATTAAGCTTGTTTTATTACGTGGATAGAATCTAATTCATCTGGAAGAGATTTACGATGCAGAGGATCATAAATTATGCATGTGCTCTCCAAAGAATTTTGGCGCCGACTATATTAGATAATTGAGTTTTATGTATAATTCATTTAGTTACAAATATGTTTCATTTAACAGTTTCTATTTATTCAAATCCTTAGCGCCACGAACGTTGAATAACTTAATTTAATCAACGGTTAACTCGTTGCGGAAGCGGCGTCTAATAACACACGTGCAATGATGATGTAGCTCGTGATTTTGTTGATGATGATGATGGAGGAACAGAGCTTTCCATTACTTCCGATGCTCGGACTCAGGCAAACAATCGCTAATTGAATGGTATTAATGCGAGTTTGCTCAATGGCGTTTCCGTCTTGCTGATTATACTTATGCAGCGGTTCCGTTTTGCTTTTCGCTTTGGTTAGATTGAAGACGGATTGCACACGCACGCGTTGATTGTCGAGAGAAATTTGTTATGGGGAATGTGAGAACAATCCGTTTATTTCCCATCAGGTAGACACATCTCGGACGTGCGCAATTATCTGATCCAGGATTTTCATCGTTATCTTAAAGACAATTGAGAAGGAACTGTGAGTGTTTCTGTTTTGTGTATATGGCAGAGCGTTAAAAGAAAGTTGCGTCGCAGCGACAGAATAAGTACGTTCGAGAAATAGCAAGTAGCCTCCGACTGTAAACGCCACACTAAATCCAACAAGGTTATAGAAAGTAAACTATATTATATGTGTGGAGGCTTGTGCAGATGACATTTTTCAATTTTCTATAACAGAGTGAGAGAAAGTATTTTATCTGATATACCTATAATCGAATGCAGCAGCAATTATTTAATTCAATATAAATTCAATTGGTTTCAACTTTGAACTAACCTTTGAGTTCCATTGGTATCATGACGATATCACCTTTCTAATAATTTATATTGTAAAAGACCTAATAATATTTTACTGAAACCACACTCTACTACGATGTATGCGTTTCCATACCATAGATAGTTTAAACCTTAAGGATGATTGGCGGATATATCCGCCCTATTCTTCACGAAGGAGAATATCGAATCTTAGTTCAAAGCGAGGCACCACTAGGCTATTTCAGACAGAGCCGTTGAAAATGTGAATTTGAAAATTCTCCATCCGCAAAAAGTTAAATAAGAAACTAAGTACAGTTTAGGATGAGAGGCGGATATATCCGCCATATTCTTCACGAAGCAGACTATCAAATCTTAGTTCAAAGCGAGGCACCACTAGACTATTTCAGACAGAGCCGTTGAAAATGTGAATTTGAAAAATCTTCATCCGCAAAGGGTTAAATAAGAAACTAAGGACACTTTAGGATGAGTGGCGGATATATCCGCCATATTCTTTACGAAGGAGACTATCGAATCTTAGTTCAAAGCGAGGCACCACTAGACTATTTCAGACAGAGCCATTGAAAATGTGAATTTGAAAATTCTAAATTCGCAAAAAGTTAAATAAGAAACTAAGGACAGTTTAGGATGAGTGGCGGATATATCCGCCATATTCTTCACGAAGATACAGAAGGAGACTATCGAATCTTAGTTCAAAGCGAGGCACCACTAGACTATATCAGACAGAGCCGTGGAAAATGTGAATTTAAAAAATCTCCGTCTGCAAAGAGTTAAATAAGAAACTAAGATCAAAAATCTTACTTAAGACCAGCAATAATTTATGTATTTAATAGAAAAAATCAGTTTGTTCGTAATTTGATTACTTTTATTACTTATTCTTATTGATGGAATAATTAGTAAGTATGTATCTCATTATAAAAAGAAAATGAATTATCTCGAATAAATAGATATACATTTCAAGCGACAAGCGATAGAAAAAAAACATGTAATTAGTATATAAGTAGCGGGTAATATTCTCTAAAGGTTTATATCACAATATAAGTATATATAGTTTGGTGAAGATTTTAGCAAGCTAAACTAAGCAGAATCTTTTGCAAGTTTTGGAAGTCCAGCTCCAAATTCACGATGCCCGGCTTCTGTCCGGCCACCAAGTATTGCTTGGGAACCTTAACGTAGCCGATGTTCGTCGAAGAAGTCTCTTTCAATGCCTGCATTAAAGAAAATAAATTAATTTTCTGATTTCTGCATTACTTAACATGCTCATACCTTAGTCATTTCGATGGTTGGGAAAATGGTGAAATCCGTTTCAATTGATCCACCGAACTTCCTCCTAACTGCTTCCGCCGTAACCTTGCTCTGGAAATCATCGGCGCGTCTCTTCAAAGCCATCATCCTATCCCGTTCTTCGGCAAAGTGCTTCTGCCATGCGGCAGGTCCATTACCAGGTTGTACTTTGTAAATTGGCGGGAATCTAGGCTTGGCCAGATTCATTAGTATTTCCTAAAAAAACATAACAAATATATCGTTCGCAAAACTCAAATTAATAAAAAAACAAACTTGTTTCAAAGCTGCTCCTTCTTTATGCAAAGCATCCAAGATGGGATCGTGCGTGTTCTTGAACGTAGGCAATGGCTTCATTCCATCCATAATCTTCTTCATCTCATCACCTTCTAAACGCATCCTTTCGTTCCTCTCATTATTGAACAGCTTCCTCAGATTATCGATCTCGTGGAGAAGAAGCGGAGAATCCTTAACAACGGCCGGTAAACTCGGTCCACTCGATTGAAGCGATGGCATTTGCGATGCTAAAAACCGAATTGGATGAAACGTTTCCAAACCAAATCCAGTAAATTACCTGAAACGGATTTGGATGGATCGCTGTAGCCCTTCTTGTTAACATGCTTCAGACGCTCTTTCAATTCGGATCTTTCGTTCTCCAACGAATCGATATCCGCTTGCAAATGATCCATGGTTTCCTCAAACTCCTTCTCGTTCTTTTTCAAACTATTACGAGCCTCATCCAGCTTCCTCTGCAGTTTCTCTATGGTCAACTCGTAATCCTTGTTCACATTACCCAACTGAAATCAAACGAAATCTATTAGAACCAATGTTTAAAACACGAATAACTTTAACCTTCTTCTCCGCCAATTCTTTCCTGATAGTCATCTCAGATAACTGCTCTTGCTTCTCTTTGATAGTCTTCTTTAACTCCTTAATATCGGATTCTTTGTTTTCCAATTTACTGGTTAAAGTTTTCGTCTGTTCCAATTCCTTTTTCACGGTTTGTGCTCGAACCATCACAGGTGGACTAGGTTTTTCTTCGTTTTTGTTTGCAGTGTTGATCTCGTATTCGTTATCCTGCAAGAACTGCGCCAACTGAGTGATTTGCATCAGGATGAAAGCGATTGAATTTTTGATGCTTTGGACTGGACCTAAATCGTCTTGCTCGTACACCTTGTCGCTGGCGTTTATAGCAATGTCTTTAATTTTATCTTGAGACAAGCCCTTGTCAGAATCTGAAAATTAATCTCGTTTATTTGTGAAACATTTATTTTCAGTTCTAGCTTTACCGCCACTCGTGGAAATGGTTTGAACTGAAACTTTGACGATATCTTGGAGCGTCTTCATAATTTTCCCGGCTTGCTGATAACATTGGTAAATATTTTCGAAAACCTCCTTGTTCAAACCTAAATTGCTAACGTTTGTATCAGGAGGGATGCGTCTCTTAACAAGTTTTAATTGTTGTTGAACTTGTTCCATGGTGGTGATTACGTATTGAGCCAGCAAACCAATATCACCAACGTTGGAGGTCTGTAACACAACAAATGAAATGTAACTTGCCCCAAATATTGTGATTTATGTTACCTCAATAAGAGTACGAATGACGAGCGCATCATTATTGATACCGTCGCAAGCAGCTACCAACATTTTGACTGTATCATTCAGAAGTTGAGTATGGTTAAGCTTATTCTCTGTACTAAGTAACACGGGATACATGGTATTAAAATAACCAACGCATTTCTCTAGAATTTCAGTTGGCACGTTCTCATCTAATTGATCACGTTTCACCAACTCAACGAAACCATCGATAACCTTTTCTTGAGCCCCCATTTCTGGATATGTACCTCCTACTTTTAGTAGAGCCTCCGGTTTGCAAGAGTTCAATGCATAGTAATATTGATGCAATATAGTTTGTAGTGCAAAAATGTGGTAGGAAAGTCGGCATCTGAAAGCGAACTGTTCGACGGCGTGTCCTTTGAACACAGCTGCTGTATCAATTTTCTCGACGGCCGGAAACTTGTCTCTTATCTGAGAGATCAATAGCTCCGTCTTATAAACCAACCGTGGCACAAGAAGCAAAATCAGAACCGCGTCATGATCTCCGCCGCGATTCATGAAAGTATCAGGCATGAAAGCCGTCAAGTATTTTATGTGCTGTTGTAGCTGCTGAACATCGACACGTCTTAACTCAAGATCAATAGCCTTAGTATGCGCTTTGGTCTCGGTGAACATCTTCTTGAAATCCAGAATTTCTGGAAGCGCCGAAACCGGCTTACTGGACTCCTTCTCCAATCTATGCTGTAAATCTAACGATTGGTCTTGGAGCTTCTGCACCAATTCTCTAAACTTATTTATAGTTGCTTCACGATCGGCAATAGTTTCCATCGCCGCTTCTTTCTCTCTCAAAGACTCTCTATACGCCGAATGCGCCATATCCAGTTCTTCCCTCAAATCCATCTCGAGCTCAGCATTGCTCTCAACCAATTGATCATTCATATCCTGCAACGCTTCGAGTTCGGAAACTTCCTCTTGCAGCTGCACAACCTTCTCTTCCAAAGATAACTTTTGCTCTCCGAGAATGACAACCATCTCTTCAGCACCCATCGCAGCATCCACTTGCTCTTGTAAATCAGCGATTTGCTGCTCCATCTCCTCCACACGGCTACTCAACTTCTCCTTAGTGCGACCCAACTCAGCAACTTCAGACTTCTTCTGATCCATGTCTTTCATCAGCTTCTGATACTCGTGTTTATCGTGAGCCGACAGATCCCTCATCCTCACCAAAGTCTCCCTTAGCCTTGCGTTCTGCTGCTCTAACTGTTTAATTTCATACGTCGACATAACTGCACCATCCGCCGTATTGGTGCTTCCCTTATTCTGCATCTCAGTTTTCAAAATTTCTAAATCCAAAGTGACTTCCTCCAATTTTTCCTTGCAGACCTCCAATTCTAATTGCAAAGTCTCCGCCTTCTCCTCTGCCATTTCTTTATCCAACGTAGCCATTTCCACGGCCTCTGCCAAATCGGAAACTTCTTCAGCGTGCGCTTCGCGCGCTTCAATAGCCTCCTTGGCATCAAGCTTAGCTCTCTGTAAATCCCTCTGCAAACTAGCCTGAGATTCCATGATCCTCGTCTTGAACTCAATCAGCTGCTCCAATTGAATCTTCAATTTATCGTAATCCTTCATCTTCTCCTTGTCATCCTGCCTTTTGATCCTCAGCGTTTCCAATTTCTCGCCCAAATCCTTGATCTGCTGACTCCTGTTTTCCAGCTCCTGTTGAAACTGCAAATTATTGAGTTTCTCCTCAACTGTAGTGACTGGAGTCGTCGTGGAAGTGATCGCCTGGCCAGGTGTAAACTGCGGCTTCAAAGTTTCCACAAAATTTGTCTGAAATAACATAATAATATATTTACTACAAAAATATATTACAATCAAGTACTCACTTCAACAAATGAAGCTCTCTTTGGATTCTGGGCGATATCCGCCAAGGCTTCCGGTCTATCGACATTGGGCGAAGTCAATTGGCTTCTACTTCCGGCCAATGATTGTCTGCTACCAGCCAAAGACTGACGACTGCTCGCCAATGATTGTCTGCTGCTTGCCAATGAAATACGAGAGCTATAAAACCCAATCACATTTAAATAAAATGCAAACGATACGTGCTTACACGAGCAAATCACAAGTACTAGACATTCTCTTTAGGGGAAAAAATGTATAAACGAGCGAGTAATGTGCAACTTGTTAGGCTTCTTTTGAAACCCAATCAATACTGCACATCATCAGTTTTATCATCTGAAATAAATATTTCGCAAAAAAAAAACTGCTTCATTATTAATTAGTACTACTAGATAAAGTCTGTTGCTAAAATAAAAGGGAACAAAATAATCAAAGAGTGATCATTCTATTGGTGTACGTTAAACGATCGTTAGAACATGCTACAAAACAGATACAAAGCGAAACAAAACAAACAACATTATGTAGATACGAATCTGTTAGTGTGGCTACCTTGAAGCTGACAAAGATCCTGGTCTTTTAGTTGGTGACGTTTTTCGCCTGACACTATCTCCATGAGAGTGGGTTAAAGTAGAAAAATAAATTATTAAATGTGGCGCAAAGGCTTAATTGATGAAATAAAAAAATATACAAATCAACAGTATAACAACACAGAGGTAAAAGTTCATGAAACTTACGTCGTGGGTTTTGGTTTTGTACCGACACTAGCCGCATGGAATCAAAAAAATTGATAACAAAAAGAATATCAAAATAATGCAACCAATTTTTGTATTAGATGAAATAGAAACATTCAAAAACAACGTTACTTACGCACTCTGTCTGCTACGCAATTTTGATGAAGGTGTTGGTTCTTCTGTTGGTGTCTCAATTGGTTTGCCATGTTCATCAAGATGTGCCAATTGCACTGCTCTTACAAACATACCAAAGTTATCCTCACACTAAAAAAATAAAATCTTATTAGACTTAATTTTTACATGTAATTTTTACAAATACCTTAAAATATTGTTTCCCCTGAACTGTACCATTGTTTTTTCCCTTTGGTACATCCAAAACTAAACCTATCCACTTTCCAGTAGCAAAATTTGTTAAGCCTATGAAGGCTACAGTTCCCTGGACCTCCTTCCCCGTAACCTCCACCCTTTCTCCAACTTTAAAAGCTTCTGACATGATTTACTGAAAGCATAAAAATATTGTATATCCTGTGTTTCTGTTATTTACATAATAAGATCACTTTTAACAATGTATTGTTTTTTCAATTTACATTGTTTAAAAAATCATTCATGGAATTTAGAGTTGATGAAAGGAAAGTTTACATTGCATAAAGCTTACCTTATCAAGCTTATAAAGCTTCAAACAGTCCAATAAATAATACATAAATTTACAGTTAACAAAATTTTATACAGATGACTAAGTTGACATCTGTCACTTTGTGAACTTAATTGTGTGAAGTTAGTTACACTTAAGTTGCTCATTAATACTTTCGTATCATATTTGGTTATTATATAATTAATAAGATAATGAACCAAGTGTTTGTTGTACGTTAAAATCCATTAAAATCTGCTGTTTTGTAGGTAGTTTTAGAATTAAGGAGATCATAGATGGTGCCACCATCGAATAACAACTGTGATGGCGTCCAGCCAAACCCATTAGTGTTATTGGTTGTCAAGCAACAACCAAAAGTCAACAGTTTTTGTTTTGATAACAGCTGAGATTGTAATAATTTAAGAAAGTTTATTACTTGGAACGAATTGATGATGGATAGGCTCCCAGTGGAAATCCTGGAGAAAATCATAGGTTACAGCGACATAGATCTGAGAGATGTCATTAGCCTTAGCTACACTTGCAAATATTTCAATAATATTATACAAAACAGCAATCAAGTTTGGAAAGGAATTTACCACAAACAGTAACTAGATTTTCATAATTTTGTTCATCTACGTTTGATTTTTTCTTTTGGCTTTTGTTTTTGACCCATTTTTATTTTAGTTTTTTTTATTAGAATAGATTTACTACATTTATAACATGATCATCAATTTGGCTGTGCTTCCGAAGTCTGTGTAAACTCTTCCTTCTCAGATCATCACTCTTCTTTTATTACCTCATAAACACTTTAATCCAACTACATATACACTTCTTACATTGGCAAAGTGGACATTGAAAAAAAATATATACATCTTGATCATTTAATTTTAGCGGAGAAGATTGAGAAATCACACATTCCAAGAAATGCTTTTTCTTAATAAAAAAATAAATATTTACATTTAACCAGTTCATACTAAAAATAATTGTTTGTAATGTTATTGATGGTAATTAAAGGTAATTATTTTTTTCCTAATGCTTTCATTAAACGCTTTATACTGATATCCCTTATTTCTCTTCATAGATTATCTCATGATCGCGTTAAAAAAGAAGCTAAGCAACAGATCAATTTCAAGCAACTGGTCAAGACTCTGTTCGAGCTTCGATCAGAGGTTGGCCGTGCTTTAGATATTCTCACGATGATCAACTATAGATCTCATTGTCTGGAAGAATGCGTGCGAAATTTTTGGGAACACTTCGACGCTTCTTACGAATACGAGGATGTCCTACATTACCTTCGGGCCATATACCACAGGAAAAGACTAAACATATGGATGGATCCAATATCAAAAAAAGAGTAGGTCAAATGGAATTAGGCAACATTGAAATTAATTACATTTTTATTCTAAAGATATGGAAACCGTACTGAGAATTTCACCTTGGAATATTATGTGAGCGACCTTCTCATGTACAAAAATCAACAAGTCGCTATTGATGAATTGGATAAGTTTCTGCAATTACCAGAAGAGGAGCAACTGTTGGAAGTAGCAGCTAGTTTGGTTGCGAAATGGTGTCAACCGGAATTGAAAATCGCGCATGAAGATATCTCCGCTAAATTGGATGCGATGGCTAAGGAAGTCGGTATTTCAGTATATCAAATCATCAATTTGTATATATATATTTAATAAATTTCAGTGTACAACCATGCTCCGTTACCACCATCCGAATCATCCGTACTTTGAGGTGGACGAAGACACTTTAAAAAAGTGGAGGAATCAGAAATTGGAACAACAAAACTATAGATTAGATCAAAGGATGCAATTAATTAATATAATTAACAAAGTTCTCTTCGATAAATACAAATTGTTAGGAGACACTTTTGATTATTACAGCATGAGCAATTCGTTTATAAATTGCGTAAGAATTATAAAAATAATTAAAAACTCAAACTAATTACTATTATTGTAGGTATTGGAAAGGAAATCCGGTTTACCTATAATCTTATCGATAGTCTATGAAGGTGTTGCACGCAGAATGGGCTTGAATTGCGAACCGTTGAATACGCCTGTGCATTTCCTACTGAAGTTGCAAGGCGAGAAGACGGCACATTCAATATTGTTTATCGACGCATTCAATGCACACACGTTTACTCGTTTGAATGAGGAAGGAAAACTGTATTCAGCGGAGAAAATACCAACAGCCACTACAAAACAAGTCAATTGTTCTTATAAAGTTTGTAATAATTTAATTACATTCGTTTTTTTTTTGTAGGTGTTGGAACGTATGGTAGCAAATGTGGATAAGGCTTGGGAACGAAGCGGACTATTACATCCGACAATTGAAGCGAACGATGATAGTTTTCCAATGTTAAAGATCCTTAACAGAATTAGGATAATGGGAACAGAGTATTTCACTGATCGTCTCCATCGCGATCCAATTTACGACTATCATCGCATCACGGTTCAAGCAAAAAAATAAAACATTTTATTCGAAACTTCAATAATATTGGATATGTTTCAGAGTCAAGGCGTGCTTTTTAAGGAATCGCTAAAAAATGAACAATTTAACTATAGACAATTGATACATGTGAGACAATTTGAAATTTGACTTTCCAGTTTGAAAGTTGGGATTTTTTTTTAGATAGTGCCTCGATGTCGACCGACGGGAATGTTGTACGCTGTAGGAGTAATTGTGATCCACAAGGTGAGCGATGAAGTGCGGTTTTATGGAGTTATTATAGACTGGTCCCCTGTGTGGGAGGAACGCATGGATCCTTTGAACGAGTACAGAAACTACAAAGCGAATTTTAAGAGCCAACCGTTCTACAAAGTTCTTTCTGAAAACAGGGTCATAAGGTACTTGCCTCAAGGTAAGATGCTCAATTAAACTATTAACTACATGACTTATTTATTTTCAATTTATTAGAATATTTGTCGTTGGTGGTGCATCATTATCCGCAACGATTTTTCCACGAAAACCTCGATTTGGGAAAGCACTTCTCCAGATTTGAAGATGGAGTGTTTATCCCAAACACAGCCAAGTCCAAGGAGTACTGTGAAGATGATATTTACAGACTTGTTATTAGCAAGGACGTGTTGCGTAGGATGATCAGACAAGCTCTCAGTAAGTAGCAACTATTTTCTTAAATGTAGGTTTACTGTGAACTTTGGGTTCGTTTAAAGGGCAGGATGATCGTTTGACGGTGGGATACCGTTGCCAGTGTTTCAAAAGAAACGGGCTTATGTGCAGAATGCCGTACATGAGTCCCATATTCAATATTTTCTGCACATGCGATGAGCCTGGAATGTGTTAGATTACATCAACACTAGATACTAGTATCTAATTAAATTATATACTACTTCTCAAACGATATAAAAGTTCGATAAATGTACTTTCTGTCTTGCCTTTAATATAATAATCCATAGTAACACTTTACTCTCAACTGGTTATAATAGCTGAAGCATCTTGTCTATCGACCAAAATAATTCCATCGAGTTATTTATCATAAATTAGTATTGTCGTCTGTATAAGCGAAATGTACCGAATTATATAATATATATATATAAAACAACACGTAAGAGGAATTTAATAAACTCTTGATAAGCAGCTTTGAACTTAAGATTGTGCATTTAATTTTCGAATAAAGAATGTAAACTTGGTGAATACATAACGTACTTTATTTTCCTAAAAACCCACAGTTAAATGAAAATAATTATTATTTACATTTACGTTTTTTACATATACTTTTGCAATAATCAAACAAAATGTTTAATTTTGTTTAAGTAATTATTATATTTCATGTATATTTGGTTGCCTATATAACTTGTATATGCTTTAATTGTCGCTTAATTTACTATATCTAATACGTTATTAATCAGGTTTATGCAATTAGCTAACATATTAAAATATCCTTAAAAAAAATAACTATCTATGTATGTATCTACTCTGAATAAATATTCTTAAACTTCAAACTATTAAAATATAATTATTTAGTAATAGCGATGGTTATGGGATAAATGTAAATTATGAATTCTAGGAAATGAAATTTCTTGAATACAAATTATAAGTTATTTATTTGATTTATTCTATACACGCACATAATTGTATGCAAACTATTAATTACTTGACTCAACATCCTATGCACTACACGTCGTTGCATTATTGAAATTGGAAATCATGTTTAATTGAAGACTTCAACGGGTTCACCATTAATATCAACTTCTCCGTTAGGAGGAAGATCGATGATTTGTCTTTTCTTCCTGCTCTTGATCTCCGGTTTAGCCGTATCCTGCTTATCCTTAGAGTCTTGAGGATCCATATTCTAACATAAACATAACATTAAATTTGATGAAATTTGACTAAGAAACTATTACTTACTTGCCCTTTGATGATCTTCTGAGACTGAAAACTCTTGTTAAATTAAAACTGAAATTATCGCTACCGTATATATAGCTAAAACTTGGATCTAAAGTGGGGGAGTGTGCAATTTAAGAGTGCTTATTACACAATTTAATTAAAGTTAGTAATGATGCTTTAATCGATAACAATTAGTTAATATTGGAAGACGCACTGCAATAAGGGCCTAAAAATAAGTGAAAACATCACATGATCATCTAATACTTTTAGACAAAGCAATTGGGTATTTTTAGAAGTTGACTAAAAATTCACTACTGCATCGATCTATAAAAAAATGCTTAAAATAGACTTTAGAAAATTTACGTAGTGTATAATTAAAAAGCGATTATTTATATTATAAATATATAAATAAGTGTTTATTTTTGTTGTTTGTTAAATACATGTTTATTTGGGTTTCTCAATTGAACGTTTCGGTTGGCTCTCCATTAATGTCTACGTTTCCATTTGTTGGAAGATCGATAAGTTGCCTTTTCTTTCTACTATGCACACTCGATGAAGGTTTGTTCTTGACCAGATCTTGTTCATCTACACTTGGCGGATCCATCTTCTTTAATTAACAGAAAAAAAAAATATAATTAAGGTTTTACTATTTAATACAATAATTGTAGACTTACTCTGTTTGTGTTTGGGATGAAGCTTTGATGAGGATGAAACGAAATATGCAGAAATGCATTCGTTTCCTCAATCTTTTAAAGCGTGCTGCATGTCCGGATCTGGTGGGGATTTTCCAGAGGTGTATTTCGTTAAAAATACGAATTATCTAGAAAACTAGTTAGAAAGAAGTGATTCCGTTGAAGGCGAAGCACCTTGAGACATTAGAAAAACCATTAAGCTTTTGCATGTTATTGCTCCATGACAAATTTCTTGTATTTTGGGCTATCAGGCACAGTTCTTCTCTGTATTGATTGAGAAACTCGTTTTTTGTTTTCTTTCTCTAAAGACCCTACGTTTCCTGCTTAAGTATTCTCGGTTTCGAAACTATTTTAGAAAATATTCTAATGCATGCGTGCATTTTTAGATTACAGGTTTAGAATGTTGTTGTTGTTTTGATTTTATTTATTTATTTTTATATGTTTCGAAACATTAATAACTCTTCAATATTCTTATTCCACAATTTTTTAAAAGCAATTTTATCTATTTTTACTGTTAAAATCGTACAGGTGATGAGTTTACTTTTCACGGAATGTTTAAAATAAATATTTGAAAAGCTAAGTAAGTGTTATTAATCATGTGTGACCTTGGGTTTTTTTTAGATGATTTAGCGACAAATTTTGCAAGTGCAAAATTTATGTAATATTTGCCTCCATCATTTTTGATTATAATTGTTTGTTAATTTGATAGTAATTTATTAAAATAAAAAAAAATCATGTTACAAAAATCTTCCACTAATTCAAATTATTTTAAATTTCTTTTCTTTTCAATAGACTAAGGAATGATGAAGCAGTATAGATACGATTATTTATTTTAACTTACAACCTAAATCAATGAATTATGTCCGTTTACATCATTAACGTCTACACATATTTTTCTTTATACAAAAAAAAACACTTGAAAATCAAAATATTTCAACGTTTCAGTTAGTGTTTTCAACTGGTATAATCCGCTTAATCCGTTAATATGAGGATTTAATTGACAAATTACTATATGGTATTGTCGTGTCCCAGGGATGGAATTCTGGACACAGTGGAATATTGTCTGGTGTTCTCGTTGTGGAGTCTCAATAGTTGGGAATTTAATGAAATTCGTTTGGTTTTACATAACTTTATTCGTTACCGTGACAAAATGCTTTGCATTTGTTTATATGAAAAGATGATCGATTACGATTGTACGTGTAATGATCATTATGTGTTTATAATAAGCATTTGAATTCGGAGTAAAGGTATAGGAGTATCGATGGGAATGTTTACGCTTGGTCTCCGTTGTTTACATTAAAGTGTATCGAACTGGGATCACGGTGGAGGTTCTATTATGTTTATGTATATGTTTATATAATAATGGGATTAAGAGACGCCTTGGATGTCTCTAGTTCGGTAATACACTATGTTAATAATAACAATTATAATAATAATGGTTGGACACAACAGTATGTTAAATAAATTACGTAAAAAGTTTCTAACATACACAACTAAATCTATTAATTATGTCTGTATACATTATTAACGTCTTCACATCTTTTTCTTTATACAAAAAAGCACTTGAAAATCAAAATATTTCAACGTTTCAGGGAGGCTTCTCTTTTCTGTTCTCCTTTATAAAGTGTATTGTTTAGTTATAGTTAACATGAGGATTTAATTAACAAATTACTAAATGGTATGTTAAATAAATTACGTAAAAAGTTTCTAACATCCACCCTAAATCAATTAATTATGTCTGTTTACATCATTAACGTCTTCACATCTTTTTCTTTATACAAAAAAAGCACTTGAAAATCAAAATATTTCAACGTTTCAGGGAGGCTTCTCTTTTCTGTTCTCTTTTATAAAGTGTATTGTTTAGTTATAGTTAACATGAGGATTTAATTAACAAATTAGGTATGTTAAATAAATTACGTAAAAAGTTTCTAACATCCACCCTAAATCTATTAATTATGTCTGTTTACATTATTAACGTCTACACATCTTTTTCCTTATACAAAAAAGCACTTGAAAATCATAATATTTCAACGTTTCGGTGAAGCTTTAGTTAGTGTTTTCATCTCGTGCAATCCGCATAAATTGTTCTCTTTTAAAAAGTGTATTATTTTGTTATAGTTAACATGAGGATTTAATTAACAAATTTCTATATAGTATGTTAAATAAATTACGTAAAAAGTTTCTAACATCCACCCTAAATCAATTAATTATGTCTGTTTACATCATTAACGTCTTCACATCTTTTTCTTTATACAAAAAAAGCACTTGAAAATCAAAATATTTCAACGTTTCAGGGAGGCTTCTCTTCTCTGTTCTCTTTTATAAAGTGTATTGTTTAGTTATATTTAACATGAGGATTTAATTAACAAATTACTATATGGTATGTTAAATAAATTACGTAATAAGTTCCTAACATCCATCCTAAATCTATTAATTATGTTTGTGTACATCATTAACGTCTACACATCTTTTTCCTTATACAAAAAAGCACTTGAAAATCATAATATTTCAACGTTTCGGTGAAGCTTTAGTTAGTGTTTTCATCTCGTGCAATCCGCATAAATTGTTCTCTTTTAAAAAGTGTATTATTTTGTTATAGTTAACATGAGGATTTAATTAACAAATTACTATATAGTATGTTAAATAAATTACGTAAAAAGTTTCTAACATCCAACCTAAATCAATTAATTATGTATGTTTACATCATTAAAGTCTACACATTTTTTTGTTTATACAAAAAAAAGCTCTTGAAAATCAAAATATTTCAACGTTTCAGGGAGGCTTCAGTTAGTGTTTTCATCTCGTGCAATCCGCATAAATTGTTCTCTTTTATAAAGTGTATTGTTTAGTTATAGTTACCATGAGGATTTAATTAACAAATTACTATATGGTATGTTAAATAAATTACGTAAAAAGTTTCTAACATCCACCCTAAATCAATGAATTATGTCTGTTTACATCTTTAACGTCTACACATCTTTTTCTTTAAACAAAAAAACACTTGAAACTCAAAATATTTCAATGTTTCAGTGAGCCTTGTTAGTGTTTTCCGCTCGTGCAATCCGCATAAACTATTCTCTTTTAAAAAGTGTTAACAATAGGATTTAATTAACAAATTACTATACGGTATGTTAAATAAGCAATAATCAAATTTAACTCATAGTATATTTCATTGTTCTTAGAAATTACGTAAAAAGTTGTTTGTGCAACCAATGTGAATGATTACAGGCCCCGGGGAGATTCGAACTCCCGATCTCCTGTTTACTAGACAGGCGCTTTAACCAACTAAGCCACGGCGCCGATGTTTACACTTCTTTATGTAATTATATAAGTTACTAGTATAATTTTCACTTACATCCATAATAATAACCATAAAAAGTGTTATACTACTTCCTAAATTAATAAAAAATATAATAACTAAGACAAATCAGAGAACTACAATGCATCAATTAATTAATAACACTTGAAAATATAATTATACCTGTTACATAAGGGTTTCTTAATCAACTGATTTTCTTGAAAAAGTAGATAATAACAAACTTTATTTTTCAAATTTCAACAAATTAATTATCACAAATTATTATTTACTGTGCGTGATTCTTCTGAAATACTCATATATTGAAACAACTGTAAGTATTTTTACTATTCTATTGTTTTATATTTACCTATTCTTACAATTTGTGCATAAATTATTCGTTATTGACTAGTAAATTTAATACAAAGAACTTTAAATATTTTTGGATGTAGCTTTAATTTATTTAATATTTGTAATACAAAATAACATTAGATATATTTATATATCAAATTTCTATTTTGGTACAGGTCTCATATAATCTATAATAATTAGTTAATCAATTAGTATGAGCTAAAACTTTAATGTCTTCACATTTAATTTAATTACTCGATAACTATTAACTATAGTTAAATCTAAAACTACAATTTTTCAGTGTAAAATGTAGTTATTGTCATTCTCTTATGATTGGTATTAAAATTATTAGTTTGATCTGTTGTTTATATAAAAATTGTGTAATGAAATGTATTTTGAACAGCGCAGAAATGGATAAACTATAACCTTTGAAATATTTCGAAGAGATGGCTCTGGCTGTCTCAACAAAAGTATATTGCTTAGTGCGCCTAACGTGGAGGCAACTCAATATACACCGAAGTATTGTATCGATATATATAAATAACAAATTCAAATTTGAAAATGTGCTTTCACGTTTAATTTAATTACAGAACAATGACGTTAGTGACATACATGAATTAATGTGGAAATAAAAGATAAATAAATTGAGTTTCCAATGATTCTAATTCCAGAGTTGTAGTTAGAGCTGTACGCTTATTATAAATTGTTAATTTTGAGTAATAAAATATAGCTTGAAAAGAAATGTCTTCAGCTTTTTATTTAATTACTTGATAACCATAAAAGCTAATTAGATCATTAAAAAGGCAAAGTAAAGATAAAACTATAACTTTTCCAATGAATATACTGGTATAGTTGTGTTGCATATTTTTTGCATGTTATATACAGCGAAAGATGAAAATGTTTTTTTTACGTTTTATTTAATTAATCGATAACTACGCAAAATAATTATATCAACTAATAAGAATATTAAACACAACGTTACAACAATTCCAATGAGTGTACTTTACTCACTTTATCTTCAGTGATCATAAATTTGTGCCTTATTTTTATATAACTCTTATGTCTCAATTATAAAAAAATAATTACAATCTGCTACTATTTCCTCTCAAAGTCTTATCCACCAGTTAAAATATTTTATAATTATATCCATCATCTTACTAAAATACAAAACACAAAGTATATATGTGTTATTTAATATTTTTTTTCATGGGATGTATAAAGTTATGTTTCCGCCCGGGATCGAACCGGGGACCTTCCGCGTGTTAGGCGGATGTGATAACCACTACACCACGGAAACTATACTTAGAGTAAATTTATGCCCTTTAAATTTTTTTTATATTACGTAAATCTTAAACAATTCATCTACGTTTCTTTTAAAAATTAAGAACTGATACATATTATTAAAATTTGATATTATTTCAAAACATCTACAG